ATAGGCTGCTGCTCTCTCCTCCTTAGGGTTCATTTCCTCCTTCATTCAGATCTCTTCTTCAAAGAGAAATTCCTCAATATTCCTTTATAAAAGTAGCAACCTCCATTTCTATCTATCCCCTTACTGTATTTTTTCTTTATGGCACTTTTATCACTTGTCTCTCTTTTCTCACCTTCTTTCCACCTACCACTTAAAATTTAGACTGGAACTGGGTCTATTTTGTTCATTGCTATATCCCCAACTTCTAGGACAGTTCTTAGCACAGATTTATTAAATGAGGGGAATAAAGAAATGTTAAAGCAAAGAAGAAGCAGAGGAATCAAGTTAAGAAAGAATGTCAGAGTAGATGACTGGCTTGGGTTCAATGTTAAGAAAAGAGCCATGAGCCCTGGCTGGTGTGGCTGAATGGACTGAGCACTCACTGGCTTGTGAACCAAGGGTCACCAGTTCAATTCAGGGCACATGCCTGGGTTGCAGGCCAGGTGTCTAGCTGGGGGCATGTGAGAGGCAACCAATGGATGCATCTCTCATACATCAATGATTCTCTCCCTCTCTTTCTCTCTCCCTTCCCCTCTTTCTAAAAATAAATAATAAATTTAAAATATTTTAAGAAGAGTAATATATACTTATAAAAAAAGAAGAAAAGAAGAGAAGAGCCCTGAGATATCAGCAAGAAAGACTGTGGCCAGGAGAATCAGGCTCAGCATGTGGAGTGTAGTAAGAAAACTAGCTTCCAAAGCTACATTATGTGGTGCACAGTGCAGAGTTAAAGTCAAGGCACACATACGTAGAATCCAGGGGTTGGGATAAGAAATGGGTTAGAAACCAAGGAGGCAGATGAACAGACAGCCCAGAACCAAACAGTTGAAGAGAAAGGCAAGGACTGATAGTCGAGTCTAAGCAGAGAATTAGGACGTCAGAGACTCATTAACACCAAGAAGTGAGGGTGAGACTAGGAGAGAGACGGTACCTTAGTACCAACAAATCTTAGATTTTGGAAGAAATTTCTTAGCCAAGCCAGCTAGAGACTTTTCTGTTCCTACAAGGGTACAGGAAAGTGACAAGATTGAGTCAGCCAGGGCAGACGCAGGAGGTGGGCTCAGAAACAGACAGGGAACCTTCAGCAACAGGGGCTTTAACAGGCTCTCAGTGGATGCTGGCTGATAGTAATGGACAGTCGTTTCTATACAGCTGGAGTGAACAGATGAGAAATAAGGGCAGGTCTTGACCTACAAAGTGAAAAAGAACAAAAGAACTCAAACGGGTCAAATCCAGGTGACAGAGAATGCTGGTACCACTTACTAAGATTGGGAAATTAGCTGGTCTGAGGAAGAGCAGATGGGGGATATATGATGAAGGAAGTGGAAAGAAATCAAAGATGAAGTTCGAAGAATAATGACAATGAAAGCAAGTGTTTACAGCACTCTTACCACGTAACGGGCATTTGCTTTCATCAACCCAATTAATCTTCACAACTGCCCTTGGAGGTAGGTACTATCCCCATTTTACAGATAAAGAAACAGAAGCAGAGAGGTTAAACATGAAAACTCAATATTTGGAACAATTTAAATTTGAATCAATAATGAATAGATTTGCTGAGTAACAACAACACAAATCACATTAAAAAATCAGAGTGACCCCTTAGCCATGTTGCTACTTTGATGAAAGTGCCAGGTGCCATATAATTTCTTAATCCTGTGAGATAGAATTTAAAGGGTGAAGCTAAGATTTGAACCCAAGTCTCTTCAGTTCCAGTACCAACATTCTTTCTTTGCGTCACTCTACCTCTGCTGTGGATACTGATCTAGGCAGGGGGAAAAGGATGAATTATTGTATTCAGTATAAGTAAATCTCTTTTTAGCCCTCTGTTTGACTACTCTCATTCAATACATGTACCTCTCACAGAGACATTTTACTGACATTTGCTTTAAAAGCACAGATTGAATACAACCTAATAGTTTATTAAGCACTTCAAATATGCTAGCGCGATTTTAAAAAGCTTTGTCTATATTCACACATTCATTTCTTACAATAACCCTACCTATGAAGAAGGTACTTGAAGAATTTTATTTAGAGATGAGAAGAGGCACAGAGAGGTTAAATAATGAGCTCAGGGTCACATAGCTGGTAAGTGATAGAATCGGGCTTCACAGCCAGGCAGCCAAGCAGAGTGCACACTCTCAAGGGCTGTGTCGTGTGACCTCTCTGTAGCCCCAGACCCTAAGACCAAGGAGCTTCCCCAGTCTGGCAGGCGAGACTGACACAGCCCAGAGGTGCGATACCACGTGCTGTGTTCGAGGGTGAGGGTGAGCTCTGCGAGCACTCGGCCTGATTGGAGTAAGTTTTCCTCCAGAGACTGTGCTGCCATTGCTGCCCACATATAAATTGTTCCTAGTTTTGTACATTTAGAGCAGAGTTTCTTAACCTCAACACTACAGACATTTTTGGCTGCGTAATTATCTGTTGGTAGAGGGGAGGGGCCTTGTGTGTCTCGGGGCAGTTAACAGCATCCCTGGGCTCCAGACACTAGGTGTCCGTGGCACTTCCTAGTTGTGACAACAAAAAATGTTGCCAAATGTTCCCAGGGTATAAGGGCAGAACAGAATTGCACTGGTAAAGAAACACTGATTTAATGAAATGAAGAGAAAGAAAATGATAAAGAAATGTGACAACTTGTTAATAATTGATAAATGGGAGTAAAGGGTACATGAGAATTCCTTATACCCTTCTTATAAATTTCCTGTAACTTTAGAATGATATTTAAGTTATTATTTTAAATAAGAGATTATTGATTATGTTTGAGAGAAATATGCATATAGTTTGAATGGTGGTCTATAACAATTGTCTACAATAAAGGAAAATTCAATGTTTAAAATTTAAACATAAAATAATCTCCTAAAACTGTCACAGAGATAAATCTTTGACCTGTCATGACTATACTTGCTTTTCTTTGATCCAATATTTATTATTCAATTTTCTTTCAATGTATTAGGGCATATCCCAAAACTGCTATTACACAATATCATCCAAGAGAATTTTTAGAAGAAGAAAAAGAAATACTCAGACAATCAAAGCCATTAGCTGATTTTCTTAACAACATGAGCATAAGGTAAAAACTGTGTTTTAAATTTTGAATATAAAACATAAAATGTGTATTTTTAGTTCATAATAATAGTCTTTGAAAACAGCTCCATACATGGTATCTACACAAGTATGAAGCCAGTTACCAGATGTGCACAAGCAAATGACACTGTCTACAGATCCTTGGTCTTTCTTCCGCCTCTATTGCTGAACAGCATCTCAAACCTCACAAGCGAGGGCCACACCAAACAGTGTAAACCTGGAAGAAGTATACCATGGAACTTGTGAGGATGTTTTCCTAACAGCAAATTAACATTTATTTTCCATGGTTTCTTTTAAGTTTTTTCTCCGCTCTGCGCTCCCCTTCTTAGCTTCATTGAATTCTGTAGGATTACAAAGATGAAAATGCCATGGATGACAATGACCATCCTTAACAATGATGATGTCAGGAACTTACAAAGATATCTTTGTAAATAAGAACCTGAATTCAATTCAGAGGTACTTCTTGGATAGCATCATCCTTATCTCTAATTCCTCTGTTGCCACTACCCTTATTGACGCTGATGAGAGGTGTCTTCAGAATGCCTCTGTAGTGGCACTAGGACCCTGGGCAGAGCCCGGTGGCTTCTAGACCAGAGAGAGACCTTGACAAGTTCTCATCAAGTTGATACCAGAGTTTAGAGATGTATAACCAATGACGCAAAGGTTTTCCAGTTGTACCCAATAGGCTGGTTTCCATTTCTTTCCATAATTAAATATTTGGTGGTCAAGTTCAGAGATGGTCCAAGTTAAGCTTTTTTACTTTTAAGAAAACATCGTTAGTTCTTTCAGCTGTATTAAATGTCATGAAAATTATCCATGCTCTGAGAGAATCTAGTTAAAAAACTCATCAATGATGCAGAGAGTGCATTAATTATTTGCCACTCATGGGAAGCATGCTATAGTTTCCTCCTATGTGGGCAAAAAGAAAGAAACAAGAAAACCTAAGGTTTCTTTTTCCCTTTATCAAAATAAAGTATTTAACTTTTTCCTAATAAGAATATTAAAAATGAGAAGTCTGTTTTTGTGTAACTTATTTCAAGTAAAAAAATGGCCTGTAGTCATTTCTCAATTATCCACATTGTATATTATCTTTAGTCTGGAGTTTTGTTCTTCCCTTTCAATTGCTGTGTTTGTGAAGAGACGAGCATAATTCTTTCCCTGAGATGTGGTTAGAAGCCAGAACTATAAGAAGAGAGCAGAAAGGAGCACAAGAATTAAAATAGCACTGGCCAAGAATAAATAAGAAATCCATGTTTATACACTGCCATTCTTCCCACTACAGCACTGCTTAAGGCTTATTTTTAAAAAAATTTAAATTAATATAAGCCTTTTGTTCTGGAAAAGAGCTCTTTCATAAAAGAGTTCTTTTTCATAGAGTTTTATCCAAAGTGAACTTAAGGGACTTGCAAAAGAAGGAAATTATGTTAGAGGAGAGAAACTTCCAGGAGATTCTCAAAGCAACTAAGAAACTTTTATTTGGGAATTTAAAAAAAAAAAAGACACCCATGGACTTTAGCTCAGACAACAGATTTGCCAGCCTTCAATTCATCACCCTTGGGAACCAGGAGGCGGAGTGCAGGGGATTCAGGACAGGAAACCAGAGAAGCACACTGTCTTCCTGCCGGCCCCATAGATTACTTCCCCGTTCAGCCCGACAGGGAAGAAGCAGGAAACCGGAGCAAAGGGCCTCTCTCTAACTCCTCTCTCAGAATTCCATTCTCAGTCTGGCTGAAACAAAAAGAGATAAGATTTTTTAAATGTTTACAAACACTTCTACTTGAAATCGGTTTCTCCAGGGTGCCAACCTACCCTACCTAAGGTTATTCAAATTTTAATATACATATGCACCCCCCCACGTACCTGGTTAAAAAGCAGGCTCTGCCTCGGTCATGGTCGTCTGGGGTGACGCCTGTGACTCTGCACTTCCTACAGCTCCCAGGTCCTAGGAAATGCTCTCGCTGGAAAGATGAAGGGTAAGAAGAACTTAACCCAGAATATTCAATTGAGCAGTGAATGGTAGTGTTACTGTTTAGTGACAGAGGTATTAAATGGTGCCCTTGCTTAATTTTGAGGCATATATACTATGATATTTGGTATTTATGTGTGATTGTCTAAATAAAATTTTTTTTTTATTTTAGGAAATTCCTAATTTACAGCCACTCTTTCAGCTTACCATGCAGCGGGGTATTTGGACTTTAAATCATTAGGGTAAAACTGTGGATGAAATTCTTCTCGTGGGGCAGCTCCTAAGGGCCTTGGGAGTGAGTGCAGCTTTCAAACCTACGCAAAGGAGGGAACAAGAAACAGTATAGTAACTTAGTGTAGCTTGTAGGACAGGAACCTGTCAAGACAGGGACCTTAGACTATTAGGAGATGAGCCTAGCACAGAGATTGTTTCTTAAAGAAGCAAGTGTAGTATTTTTAGCAGGATACTTCTGCCTTTTATAGACTATCTAATGCATTTCAGAAGGTTTAGTAATGGGATTAAACACATTAGATCCTCCCAGGTGTTGACAACTAAAACCACTACCACTATACACACTCTCTCTCAATCTCTCTTTCACACACACACACATCTAAACTGCAAATTGCCCCTTAAGAATCTCTAATTTGTTGTTTTGAATTATACACACACATAACTCTAATTATATGTTAATATAATAATGAGTACACATGATCACTTGGTACTGAATATATAGCTAAGAAAATTGCCTTTTTTGTCAGTTTGGGATTTTCAGGAGGCGAATAAGACCAGTTCACAGTGGAGGCTTACTGGGGGGTACACTGTGAAAAACAAAGAAAGGGAAGGAGGACTCCGTGGGGAGCACTTCAGAGTCTCAGCCAGCCCAGCTGGGAGCTGCAGGGGGAGCCCGGCTGGAGGCAGAGCCCGGGGCTCTGGTGTCCTCACCGCTGCCATGCTCAGTGGCCTGGGAACCCACCGACCGAGGCAGGGAAGGTGCTAGAGGCTGTCCACTAACCACATCCTGGAAGCTGAACAGCAGGCTCTTAGAAGTCCTGAGTAGCACGCTGCCTGAATGTTTTTCTCTCACATCCTTATTTCACAGGAGGTTAACCCTTCGCTACCAAATATAACTGAGAATATTACAGGGGGTGCAAATGAAGCAGGAAGAGCTCGTGAAAGCATATCACTGAGTACTAAAATCCAATGTCTTCGTTGCTCTTACTTTCTTTTTTTTACAAAATAGTGTTGAAATAGCCCTGCAACAAAATGAAATCACAAACACATTCATTGATGACTGGAAATGCCTGGCAGAAGAAGAGAGCACCTTTGGGGACAAGAGCGACACCCACCTGAAGGAGTACCAGTCCTTTACTGACCTTCATAACCTAACGGAGAAAATGGTCACCTGTGTCTCATGGCATCCACAGATCTACGGTAAGATGGAAAAGACTGCAGTTCCATTTGGGATGACATTGCACTGGTCTGTTGCTTTCATGCGTAAAAGTGAAAATCAGCTCAACTTCAGTAAGACGACTCCCATTTGCTGAGTGCCAGGCACCTGCTAAGCACTTTCTTTCCGCACCTTCTCTCAGTTGTGTGTCTTCTGAGCAACTCTGGGGTACCCACTGGGACCTCCGCTTTACAAGGACAGGGCAGAGCTAACTCAAGGAAGTGTTTGGCTCAGGTCCCCAGCTGGTGCAATGCCCAATCTGGATTTGCCTCAAGCCTCCGGGGCACAGAAGGGTAACTCTATTCTCCCGACACTTGCCTGGCTGGTCACCGGACCAGATAGGAGCTGCACCTGCTTTTGAGCTCTCAGCAGCCAAGGGCAGCAGGCCTGTGTGAAGGTGGGACTTCAGAGGAGGGGGAAGTCATTGCCCTCCTCTTTCTTCCTCCTTCCCTCTCTCACATTGGCCCTTTCCTCACACACACACACACACACACACACACACACACACAATTTTTATACTAAATATTCGAAGTCTTCTGTTTATTTTGTACTATCATATATCTCAGTTTGGAGTGGGCATATTTCAGCTGTGCCCACGTGTGGCTGCTGGCAACCACATTACACAGCGGAGCTCTAAAAAGCTCCTGGTCTCCTGTAGAATATTTTCCCTCGAGTTTTACCTGAAGGGAAATGAACAGTGACCCCGCAGAAGCACAAAGCCCACCAGCTCTTCGCCACACCCAGCCGCTGCAGACCTCCATTTTCATTGTGTTCCAATCAGGGCTAATAGCTGTGGCAGTGGCCGTGCGACTCTCCTTCGAAGATAGAGTTCACTTTTCCGGCAAATTACTGCTGCAGCCATCACTGATTCTTTTCTGGAGCTTCTCCGACCCCATACACCCTCAGGTAACAAGGGGGCATTGTCCCCGAAGTCTAAAAATCTCAAATGTCACTTCCATGTGTCACTTTTAGCAGTTTCAATCACAAAGTGATTTATAGCTCTCGGTGTTGTAAAGTTTACAGTGTAAAAAAACCTTATAAAATCGGGATTTCTTCAATTCGAAATTTGGGATCAATTTGAGCAACACAAAGTTTACACTTAATTTACTGAAAAGGTTTGTGAAACAAATCATGTTATTCTTTTGAAAAAGATTGTAAGAGCAATAGTCAACTGATTTTAAAGAGCAATCTCTTTTATGGGCTTTATTTAAATACTAATTCTTCGAATGCAAGTAGATTTTAGTTTCACAGGAATTTCCTCAATTCCCCGGATCACCAGTAGGTGCTGATAATGAGTAAAGATGAGTGTGTAGGAGAGCGAGTGTATGGACAGCTGCTCTTCAGCTCTCCTACTGCCAGGCGGTCCCGCTTATCAAGAGAATCCAGTACCTGGGAATTTTATGTGAAATCTCCAAGTTTTTAAATAGCTATTCTAGAGCCAAACCAAAACACACAAAAGCACCCACCCAAACCAAACCAAAACACTCAACAATCCAAATAAAACAAGGCTGAAGGCTGAGTTTGCCCCATATGGCTCTCTTTCCAATGTCTGCTCAAGGACAGTTCTGCTCAAGGGGAGGGCGCCTCACAGGATCAGATAAGTTTTTTTCAATGTACTTAAGTGTAATAATAATTTGTTTCTATAAAATATTGGGTAGTTAAGGCTTTCCCTAATAAACCCTAGCCCTGTCTTATTCCTTCCTCCTTAATGCATTTGAATTAAGTCAGTTTTTCTGTAATAATGTCTAGATATTTTAATTATTATAGACTCAGAAAACACAGCAAGAGAATGGCACCATTTTTTGTGCTCAGTAGGCTGATAAGAAATAACTAGAGAGCTGTCTTTTTGCTTTCTATCATTTGATAGTCCAGTAGCTCAGCTCACCGCCACGTGACCTGAAGTCTGCCTGACCTTCCAGGCAAATAGCAAGAGGAAAGACTCTCCTCTATTTTGAAGAATAGCTTTAAAAGACAAACAGTTTCTTAAAGAAATAATGTAAATGATTTATTGGTCTTTTTTCTTATCAAAACTATAGGAAATTGTTAAAAGATTTTATTTTCATAAGTAGAGTTTCTCTAGAATCCACAGAGTACCAAATTAACCAAGATAATTAACCCACTTCCGGTTTACAATCCTTAGTTCAGGGATGGCAAACAAATGGCCTTGGGGCCTCTGTTTTTGGCAGTTATGTTTATATAAGAGCAGTAGCCACACATGTGTTTTGCTTGGTGGTGACCCAACAGTGCCGGCGCTAACTATGGTTCACATTACCTATTCCTGCACGCTGGCATATTCCTTGCAGAGCTCCCTCCCTACCCTACAAGCACTGGAGTTTGTTTACCTTCTGGGTTCTGTATTATTTAAAAATGTAAACTCTTATCACTGGCAACACCTTCACCTTCTCTCACACAACGTGTTTTATTTTTATGTGGCCCCATGTGCCAGGCTAGGTACACAGCACAGAACAAAACAGACAAGTACCCCATCTTTCTGGAGCTTACTTTCCATACTTTAAAAAAACATTGATTTCATAGTCTTTTTGTTTATGAAAAATTATAGGATGTCCCAACAATGACCCATGGAGCATGGGTGAGGGTGGACCTGGTCCCCTTGAAAATATACCTGCTCCCATACATATGGCCAATGTCCACAATAAAATTCAACAAAAGCAACTCCTCATTCAGGGGTAGAATTCTGGGAATGGACCCTCTGTGCATGTTTCTTATAGATAGCTATAAAATTAGACTTTTAACTGTCTCAACATTATTTTCTAGCCATGATCTCGGATTTTCTCACTCTCTTGAATTTTGGGGGTTTCCTTTAGCTAATGCTGGAGAGCCCGGAAGACATTTTCTGCTTCAAGTTCTGTCCAAGTAACACTAATATTATTGCTGGAGGCTGCATAAATGGGCAGGTACGCACAGATTTTTTCCAGGTATTTATTCATGTAGACAACATTCTGTAATACATTTTGATTGGTTGGTTTTTGAACTTAAGGAGCCAACTGAGCAGAAAGGAGGCATGCCAGCTGTGTGCCACGCCCCCATGCCCCCATCCCCCCATGCCAGCAACTGGAAAGTAAAGATGTGTTAGGAAGTTGGGGGATGGGAATGTAAAAAAATAAAAATTTAAAAACCCTGCCTGCTGTAAGTAAATAAATAAATATATATTAGATGTGGTATCAGGGCTGGAGATATTCACAGGGTGACCCAGTCATGATAACTGGAACAAAACCAGGTCATATCTATTTGTATTGCTGAGATAAAATCACACGTTGGACCAGATTTCATGGAACAACACAAACCACAAGCATTAATGCCTCTTAGTCAGGAGGCCTCTTTTGAAATTTTCCTAGAGGTAGGGGATAGCAGATGATACGAAATTTAAATAGAAATTATCTGGAAAACATACATATATCATAGAATTTTTTGTGTATGATTTAAAATCATGTTTTCCCTTTGTTATCTAATTTACATAAAATTTAGATCCCATCCTAAATTGCCTGTTTCTCCAATAAAGGAAAACACAACTCATAAGGCTGTTTTATAATCAAAGTTTAAATTTACTGTGATCCAGGGAATCTGACCATTACAGGGTATGTGGTTTTTCCTGGTGTGGCCAGGAAAACTTCCGGTGGTTGAAATGCAAATGCCCGAAGCACCGATGCCCATTTACCCAAAACCAAATGCTTCCAAGAAAACAAACTTTCTCCCAGGGTTTTGTCCAACAACAGCTGGCAGTCATCACGATGACCCAGGGACCATGGTCCAAGCCCAGCAAACCCTGAAATAGCTTTTTCAATCACTATGCAGGTTGTACTACTGTGTTTTAAAGTATTGTAGAAAAGCAAATGATGACAATAAAAGCACTCACAGGTCTGTAATCCTGACATGTTGTTAACATTTTAGTGTGCTGAAATGAATTTAATCATTAAAAATTAATCTAATTAGTGTTGCATGTTATACTTCATTCCGATTTTCAAAAAATGACCATGACTGTGCAAATTCGGAGTTGGCCATAACATCTGTTTAAATAGAAATCATCATTCCTTAGACTTTTTGGACAATTGAGTGTATTTGATTCTGGAGGACAGGCCCTTTGCTCCTGGGTCTAAAATGGTTGGCCCCACAGTCATAGCACATTCCCCCCAACAGAGGGCGAACTCTTCCCAAAGCAGGGGGAATTGCATGCTGTTTACCTTGGATTTTAAAAATTACTGGCACTTTTAACACAAGCACTAAAATCAAAGTATTGAAAATACTTTTATATGGAAGAAAACATTGTTTTACATTGAGTTGGCCCAAAAGTTTGTATGTTTTTTTCTGTAAAATAAAACACCTGTTTCATTTTTGCCAACAACTTTATTGATTTGGATATGTTGAGTATGTCAGCTATCTCCTGCCTGTTATAACACTGATTGTTCTCAGTTAATGTCTTGATCTGATTGCTGTCAACTCCAACTGGTCTACCCGATGGTGAAGCATCGTCCAGTGTGAAATCTCAAGCATGAAATTTCAGAAACCACTTTTGACATGTTCCATCAGTCACAGCACCTTCTCCATACACTGCACAAACCTTTTTCAATGTTTCAGTTGCCTTTTTACCTTTCTTGAAATAGTAAAGTATAATATGCCAAAAAACATTGCATATTTTCTTCCCTCTTCAATATTAAAATGGCTACACAAAAATTCACCAATTTTGATGAGCTTTTTTTATGCACACTGATATGACAGCTGTCACAATACAATCTAACAATATTATTTTAAATGAAGTTAAAGACAAGTAAATGCTACTAGAGCCATCTTATAGAGGAAAGAACAACAAACTTTTTGGCCAACCCAATGTGAGCTTTAAAAGTTGCTGACTTACCTAAGAGGTAGGCTGAGTTTGATTATCCCCCAAGGTGACTGATTCATCCAAGTGCATACCAATACAAATAGATGTTTTAAATCTTTAACCCTGAAAATATGTAACAACATTTATTTCTGTTTCAGATTGTCATGTGGGATATTACTGCACATGCTGATCGCATAGAAAACATTAAAACAGGTGGTAGTAGAAGTAAAAAGGCCACACTCAAGGTTAGTTAGCTTTTTACAATTTTTTTCTCTTTCACCTTTTTTTCCATCCAGGAGTTTATCAGAAAGTACACAACAGAGTTGCCAAGTTAAACGAAGACTCAATAGGGAAAAAAAAGTGCTGTTTCCCAAACCTTCACATCTGCTTACAACACTGTTCTAAATCACTTCTCATAGGCCCTTGATTTAAAAAACCGCAAAACAGCTGGCACCAGCTGTCCCAGGCTGTTGAATTTTTTTGTTGGTATTGCCATTAAATAAAACAAAGGGGCTGAGTGCATTTCCTAAAGTGATGTAGTTGGAGGAGCATTGGACAGAAGGGCCATGTACCCAGGCTCTGGGCCAGAGTCCTGGAGGCTTGGACATTGCCCTCACCTCAACAAACATTGATTTTCTCCTGTATAAAATGAAGGTGGTAATAATATACTAGGATTTTGCCAACCTGTGGATTCTGCCAGGAGGGTCGGGGAAAGCTCCCTGGCTCCCAGCTCGTTACTTACCCACCATTCGCGCGGCTCCACCCCAGCACTTCAACCTAAATGTCAACTGGTCTCTCACCAGGAAACACAGGGCCGCAGTCGTCTGTGCACAGAAGGAAATACTCCTTTGAAGACGGGATCTCACTCATTCCCTAGGCAGTGATTTTGAAGGGGAAAAGTACATAATCTTATTACCTAAAATATATGATACATAGACACACTAATTTCTGTTTTTCTTTGAACTGGTATTTCTCCAAGTTATTCATTTTCAATGGTACGATGAGACAAGTATGAGTTTATTCTATTCATCAGCTCTCTGATGGTAGCACATGACTTTCTTTTACCAATTTTCCAGCCCATGTTTCTCCTCGAACCAGACATGAATAAAGAAGCAATGTATATCAGACACTGCGCTGTCTCCTCAATAGAAAACGGACATAAGAAAGTAATTACTGATATACACTGGCTGCCTGACACATTCGAGGTGAGTCTCAATGGCTTCACAGTTTTCTTCCGCTGGATTGAAAACATTTGGAAGATTTTGTTCAAAGAGAAGGTTTCAAGTCAATAATCCATGTACATTTAAATTGTGAAACAGCCAGGAACTAGGCACCAGTCAGTGGTGTCACTTTTACCAGACTCACATCTGACTTGGAGACGAGAGGAGGGTCAATGTTTCAACCACCATGGTTTAAAAGGCACTAAAAATGCAGTTGGTGTCAACACTGATACAATGCAATAGTGGAGAAGATGAGGGTTTGATATGTATAAGTAGAGTGTAAATATTTTACACCCTTAGCCTTGGCAGATTTAAAATTTGTAATGTCAACTGTTTGGAGCAGGCAGTTCTGAAGATCTGTGCCATAGGAAGATGTCATTTTGCCCAGCAGTGTTGAACTGAGCGCACCCTGACTCTGGGGGGGCAAGAACTAGCTGTGCAGTGAGTGAGCCCAGCTGACTGCCCAGCGCCCATGCTGTGGTTTGGCTCTGTGGTTCTGTTCTTGACTCATAAAGTCATTTTTGTGAACTTCGAAACTGGTAAGATCCCCAGATGTTTCACCCAATGGTGCTAAAGGTCTACTATGTATTTTGAAGAACTAACAAGTGAAAATATAAAAGGATATCTGATGGGGTATGCAAAGCAAATAGCCCAGATATAGTTTCTGTTAAAAATAAAAGTTTACCATATAGTAACGGAATTTACAACCCAAGGGAGGAACTCCATCTTAACTCACACCATACACACATTAATTCAGGTGATTATAAATTTAAATAAAAGTAACAAATTACAGGAAAATTACAGCACATCAGATTTAAGATATCATATTTATGGTATGGAGATAGTTTCCTAAACTAATTTATGTAGAAAGAAATTCAAAGTATACATGTACATTTCTCAATGAAACAATAAAGAGCAAATAACAAAATGAAGAAAAATATTTGTTCCGAATATGGTAAATACAAAATTTCCAGTAAATAAGGAAAAGACATATACTGACTGGAAAACAATTAGTATATAAACATGAAAATCATTTAGCCTTTCTAACACCAAATAAATGAATAATAGAGCAACAATAATCGGGACCATTTACATTTTTTATTAAAAACTTTAAATAATATCCTGTATAAGATACGAGATGGTGCAACCAATAAATTCTAACATTGTTGTTTCCAACATAAAACTTTTAGAATATAATTAATCAATGTGCTTCTTAAGGCATCCAAATGTTCAAACTTTTGACCAGTAATTTATATTTTGGGAATTCATACAAAGAAATGATGCAATTCCTGTCTCAAAATACAAAATTATATGGACACCCTGACAGATCATGTTGAAGGATATCCATAAAAGAAGATTGGAAAAAATACAAGGTAGAATTGTATTTTATTTTAAAACCTATTTTCCAAACCTGTACAATATATTTTTTAAATAATCTAAACATAAAACTCCAATGCAAGCACGTCTCTGGAGTATCACGCTTTCTACACTAGGGAAGCTCATTAGAAGAGGAGGCAACGTGGTCTCTAGATTGTTTATTGGATGCAAGTGGAGATTGCTGAGCCTGAAGCAAATCAAGCCACAGTGGTGTCAGCCAGGTTTACAAGATCCAAGCCCCTGGGATGCCAACAGGCCTTGCCAGCCCCTGTGGTCTTTGTCCAACCCCCAACTTTACCGTTGATTTGCTGCCGTAACCCCTGTCTCTGCTGTTCTGCTCATTGGCCCTAATAGGAGAAGTCATGTTCCCTCTGGTTTGAGAGTGGCAGCTTCACAGGTTGTCCCAGAACCTGTCACCTCATTTGAGAGCTAGCTTGTTGGGATTTTGGACCTTCCAGGCCCCCAAGGACCACCAATCCTCCTTGGAATTCTGTGAGCGCTAGCAGAGCTGTGCCACTGATGTCTCAAAACATGCAGGTACCTTGACATCCACTGCATGATGCTGGTGTCTGATCTCACAACAAGCCTCACTGACTCTACCTGTTCCACAGTCTCATAAAAGCTCCTGTTCTGGCTCCACAAACAATAGTAAAAAAGAGAAAGAGCCTACATTTTAATAATAATGGGTAATGAAATTATGAAACATCATCTATAGATTATAAACCCATTAGAATGATTCATGAATACACAGGTAAGCTTTTCAAATTACAATCTTAGCATTGAAATTTATATGCATACTAATTAAAACTACATAAAAAGGCATCTTTGAAAAAAAAACTGGAAGATATATGGCAGAATTGTATTTGATTTTAAAACCTTATATTTCCCAAGTTTCTCTGATACTGTTATGCCCTTTTAATAAAAATTAAAACAAAAAAAGAAAAATTAAAAATGTAAAAAGCTGTGAGAAGCCCTAGCCAGCATGGTTCAGTCAGTTGGAGCATCATCCCAGAACCGAAAGGTTGCTGGTCGATTCCCAGCTGGGGCAGGTGCCCAGGTTGTGGGCTGATCCCTGGTTGGGGCACATGTAGGCGGACCACTGATTGGTGTTTCTCTCTCGCATTGATGGTTCTCTCTCTCTCTCCCCCTTACCCTCTCTCTTGAATAAGAATAAAACAAAACCCTTAAAAACAACTATGAGAAGAAAGTCATTACTGTCCTAGTTCACAGAACTTAATTCTTGCTTTTTTAAAAAAAAATAGATTAACAGAATGGGTTCCGTCTTTGAGAATCGAAGTGGAATATGCTGTCAACTTGTTACCTGTTCAGCAGATTGGTATGTCTTATCTTAAACATCACCAAATATGTTTTCATACAACATATTCTTTTCTTAGATGTTTCAAAGATCATTGTCTTCCTCTGCTCCTTAAATAATCTTTATTGTGGTCATTAAACCTTGTATAACTAAATAAAAGAATGTTATAGATTGTTGCTTGTTAAAAATATATTTATGAATACAACCTATGTTGTAAAAAGAATTAACTAGATTTCATGATTGATACTGTTATATAGCATTATCCACAGGTATTCTGCTTCTTCAAATTCTCTTGTAGGTTTGCAGTTTGCATTGTTTACATTCAATTTTGTCTCACAATTATGAAGAGTATAACATTTCACTTGAAAAGCTTTTATAAAGAGTTTTAGATTTTTATTGCATATTTATAAAAAGTGTTTTTATAAATAATTTGGTAACTATGTTGAGGAATGTTTATTTTAAAAATTACATCTCCCAATTTATATAATTCAAAATCATAATGAAATAGGAAATATAAAAAATAATAGTATTGCCTAGCATCCAAATGCTGATACAATTTTACCATTCCAAATAGCTTTGATCCCAATAGAAATAATGACACCTCAAGCCATAGGCTCTTCAGAAGTGTGTGGAGTGGCAGGCAAAGTCTTCAGTAACATCAGCTTGGACGAGGGGTGGAGGAGAAAAGATTAACCCTGTGGGCATGCACTGGGTAAGGTTCTGTGACTGCAGGCAATAGAAACTGACAATGGCTAACTTAAGGGGACAGAATAAATTTACTGGAAATACATTAATTGGACGTGTATGCCAAAACTCTACTAGGTGCTTTAATGGGTTAACTTTTTTATACTTGCAACGACCCTGAAAAATACTTATAAAGGAAATAAGACTCAGAAGGTAAAGTTCACTATATACAGCGAGTTATATATGTACTTATATCCTATATCATAGCTAGTAAGTAATGATGTTACTGGATAAAAGGAAGAGCTAACTCAGGTCTCAGAAAGAGCCCCAGGGATTTGGGTATCAGGAGTAAACGGTCAGTCCCTTCTTAATGAATGACCTAGTCCCGCCCCTGTGTCACTGGAGAATCTGGCTGACTTCCCTTACATTGTGAACTCACCCCTTTGGCCAGGGCAGGAATGGCAGAGCACTTGGAAGGACGGTTTCAAGGTTTCAATTTGACTGCATCCAATAGGAAAGAAGCAGTTTCCTCCAAACAATTAGAAGGCTTTTGCCAAAAAATAGGTGAAGAGAGGGTGATTATTCCCCAGGCAAAAGCAACGC